CTTGATCTGGGCGGGAGCCGCGGGTTGGTCGCTCCGGTTTGTTGTCATCCCACTCCTTTCCCAAGCTTGTCCTCTTTTTAAAGGGCTCGTGGCGTTCGGGATAGCGGTGGGAACGGCTTGAGCAAAGCAGAGATACGCGGCCGTGCAGCTCCATCCTGAAAAGCAGCCCGGGTCCCTTGAGCTTTTCCTGGAAGTGTGTGGTGGGAAGGCCGAGCCTCCCTGTGCTCTGTCCTGCTGTAGCGCTTGGAGACAGCTTTTCACCAGGAAAAGCTAGACCCTGGGCAGGGAGTGATCCCGCTGCTCCTAATGTCCAAGACAGGAGGACTCCTGGGTCCTGGTTCATCCCTGTAGCTCTGTGACCCGCTGAAGAATGAAGGAGTTGCTGCAGAAACATCTCTCTTCCCTATTTCTACACCTTTGGTTCACAGGAGACTTAAAAACTCTAAAAAGGAGATTTTTTCCTATAAATTCTTCTCATAGAGGCTGGGTGCTGCAGAAGAGCAGGACCTGGCCTGTGCTCCTTGGTGCTGGTCTCCCTCAAGATGCATCAGCGAGTACTAAAGAGCAGGAGCAGAGCTCAGTCGTGTGGGAACTTCGGTAACTTCCACAGTGCAAAACACGTATGTGCACACACATAGCCCTATAAATTCTTGTTAATACTAAAAACCAGAAGGCTACGTTTATATAACTCGCAGTAGAATCAGCGAGAGGGAAGGAGATGCAAAAACGAAGCTCACGCTGTGCAGCAGGAGGTCATCCTGCCTGTAAATAAACTGATTGAAATGACTGCTAAGCTGTGGAATAAGCTAAAACGGATCAGGAGGTATGAGGAAGAGCTGAAAAGCAGAGCGGGAGACCAGAACAGTAAAATGGTGCTACAATGGGTAGGGTAAAAAATTAATTTCCTCTCCACTGCCTGCGATTATAGCTGTCTGTCTCATAATGACTCAGAATATGGCTCTTTAGGACAGTAAATCAGGGATAACTGGCACTTACTGGGGCACTCGTGTCTATGGAGAGCTGGAGTGTAGAAATAGTCACTAATAGTCCATCGAGAGACCAGTTTTGGGGATTGCTCTGCTGATCACTGACCCGTCTCTGCCTGGAATTGGTGCAGATCAACCAGATTGCAAAAGGTGATAAACTTTGTTAGTTTAGGGCTAGGACCGTGTTTTACTCTCTCTTTCCAGGAGTCTTTTGGGTCGGGTTAGTGTTTCTTTCTGTGACTGCTGCCTGTCGGGAGCATCTTTAGTGCCCATTTGTAAGCAAACAGGTACATTTATTAGAAAGAAGTGACAGCAGATGCAGGGAAATCCAAACGATTCTGAACTGCAATAGAAAGAAGGAAAAAATACATGGAAATAATTTTCTTTTGCTATTAGGGACCTTTTAATTACGCAGTAATTAAACACAGGAGCCAGAATGACCGTGGGGGCACCCCGTAGCGCAGGGCAAGGCTTGGTGTGAGAGGGAGGATGCTCGATGCTTAATCCCAGTTTCACCACGGACTTCTTGTCCTTGCAGCCTAATGACCTGTGTCAATTAAAAGATGCGAAAGCAGCGGATTCGCCATGAAAACGTGTTTGTTGTGACTAGAGCCCTACAAAAGGCCCTGTGTGGTACAATGACCCTCAGTGTGTCGCGCGCTGCCTTTGCTGCGCCCTGGTATGTCCTCGGAGTGAGGCTGAAAAAAACCTTGTGCTTGTGTAAGCAGTGGGAAAACAAGCAGGCACTTTATGCTCGAGAAGGCCCCGTAAAGCCGCAGGAAATTCCTGCATTCTTGATCTCATTTTGCGGCGCGTTTCTGCAAGATGCACGAGGTTGCCCCCCTGCAGCAGAGCCCGCGGCTGAGCCCGGTGGCCTGATGCAGCCCCCCTCAAAAACCAGGGCTGATTTGTGACTTGGAAGGGCAGAGGCAGCGTGTTTTTAGTGAGGAGTCTGTGCTATTTCTGCTTCGTTCTGTTGCACTGTTTGGCCACGAGCAAATTGCCCCCCATTTGCAGTCAGATGAGGAGATGAGCAGCCCATCAGAGAGGGCCCAAGTGAGAATCTTGCAGCGTCTTGAAAGCAGGTGGTAAAATGTGCAAATACAAATAGATAGCTCCAGTAATAATTATGTTTAATAATCACGTTAACACTTGGACTGGTAGCTACTTTATCAGTCTTGCGAATAAAGAGGCGCAACTTGCAAAAATTTTTTTCTTATTTTTTTAATAGCAAAATCGTCTTTCTAGGGCTGCATCCCAAGAGGAGGATCTATCATTCTGGTCTGCGAAGGGGTGTGTTTTTCTGCTTTGATGGCTGGGTTTATAGAGCTGCACAGCTGGAGACATAGTCACTGACTGAATCATCCCAAACCGGCGCCTTTGGGAGCGCCCCAGCGCGCGTTAACATCTTGTTTCTGCATCAGCAAGAGCCTGCGAAGGAATCCGATAGAAATTCCCCGGCGTGACCCGCTGAGCTGACGTGGGGTGTTGCAGCGTTCGGTCCTGCTTCCAGCCTGGAGATTCAGTACATTTTTAGGCAATGAGCACATCTGCTTAGTGCCAGAAATGCACTTGACGCTTGTAGCTGGTGAACCTGGAGGGGTGACCGCGTCCGGACACCCCCTCGATGTCCCATGTCACTTCCCTGCCACCCCCGCGTCGCTTTCTGTGCATATAGTTGCTCATAATGGGGCTTTGCCATGTTACTAATGAAAGGATTTTTTTTAACCGTATAGAGAGCTTTGCAGTGTTTCTCTAATGAGATTTCGCTTAATCTTTGATGCTTTTGTTCGTTGCAGAGATCCGCGCCCAACTGGTAGAGCAGCTGAAATGCCTCGACCAGCAGTGTGAGCTCCGGGTGCAGCTACTGCAGGACCTGCAGGATTTCTTCCGCAAGAAGGCCGAGATCGAGATGGATTACTCGAGGAATTTGGAGAAGCTGGCCGAGAGATTCCTCGCCAAAACTAGGAGCACCAAGGACCAGCAATTCAAGTAGAGTATTTGCCCTTCGTTTTTATCCTTTTTTTCTAAATACGTGGTGACACGTGTAGGAATGCAAGCGCAGAGCTGCTGTAGTGAACGTAGGTATCAGCATTTGCATGGATTTCAGAAGAAAACACTTCCCAAGCTTGCTATAAACACTGAACCTAGCCTGGTTGCTTGATTCCTTTTGGTAATTCCTGGTAGGACCAATATTTCCAATAGACAACAGTGATAAAGAGCTGGCACAATATAGGAGGAGCCATTTATCTTGGAAAGCCAAGTTGGACACCTCATTTGATGGTCAAAACCAGGACTTCTTTGGATGCCAGTGGCTTTATTCAGGCTTCTTTCCTCTCACTTATCTTCCTCATCACTTAAACTGCAGAGAAACAAGGCCAGTAGCGCTTTTGGATAGAGCTATGATTAAAAAAGCTGACGGGGCTCCATTAAAACTGTCTTAAAAGATGTCTTAATTGGCAGTGAATCATCCGCTCAAATAGAGGAGCGTTGTGATCCGTGTCAGGTTAGAAAACTCTGTGCTCTGGTTCGCTGCCTATCCTCATGCTCCCGTTGGAAGCGATGGTCGTTTTTATGGCATACGGAGGACACGGGCAGTCCCATTGCTGGGGGCTGCTCCTCACTGACAAGCTGGTTGTGTTTGCAGTAGGAAATGGCCTCTTTAATAGAGTTCTGCTGCAGGATTCTCACACTGCAGCTACTCTCTGCCCTTTCCAGGGGTATTTACATTAGCCACACCTGCTTGAAACGTTAATTAATGGTGGGACTGGTGGTGCCGTGTTGGTTATTCCCTGCTCACGAGTTCAGCCGCTCGAGCTGGGGAGGCTCGTGTGGATCTTGCTTTCGTGGAGGCAGAAACGCTGCGTTTTGCTGCCGATTCCTGCCCGGAGGAAGGGGCTGCCGTGCAGGGAGCTGATCCGGGGGGTCGGCTCCCCCCTGCACCGCGGAGCGGGACGGGGACCGGAGCGGTGCCCGCGGCTTCCGCGTCAGGGTAGCAGCTGGGGACACCACCAAAAGGCAGCCTGGGGATGTGAATCATCCTCGTTTGGCTGGATTAGCCTGTCCTTTGCCTGACACGATCCATCTGGATGTGCCTCCACCCACAGTACAGTGTAGCTGTGAGCTTCGTCTGGGGCATGCCGTGATTTTTATTTTCCCTCTGTTTGTGGGTTACTGTATCATGCAGCAGAGGAGGATCAGCTTTCCTTTATACCTAGAAACCCTGTTTGGGAAAGCCATTAAGTATCACCGTTTTAACCTACTTTTTGTACAGCTCTGGTGTAATTTGCTGTAGTTCTGTGCTTAAAGTAGACATGAAACGACCAGAAATGCTTTTGCTTTGAGCTTTTAGCTTGGGAAAGAAGGTCGTGCCTTTTAACTGAGTGTCCTGGGGGCAATATCACAGAATTTCTGCATTTAGATTCAGAAAGGGCTCTTAGGCCCTTTCCCCAAATGTTCTGGGCCCCATTCCTGAGCCTCGCTTTCACCTGGCTCCAGTCTTCCCTTCCAGTGATTTCGCTCACGTTAGCACTTAACTCTGTGTGCTCGAAACCATCACACAAGGGCATGCACCATATGAAGTGCAAGGCTGAGGGTGTCTCAGCAGCAGCACTTCTTCCTTTTCTGTGTTTTCGCAGGCTAGATTTGTCTTTGGGAGCATCATTTGGTTTGCTTCAATGCTTCCAATCCAATGCTCCCCTCCAGAGAGGAGGCAGTTCAGAGCCTTGTGGATTTGGGCTGCAAAATCACCACATTGTGTCTGTACACGGTGATTTGCAATGCAACTAAATCATTCTTTTTGCTAGGAGAGATTTCTGAGCCCTACTGATTTAGAAGGAAAAAAATAAGCCCCAGGAGTGACCATGGCTGTTGCATTAGGCAGGATGTTTAGATGCTCCCAGGGGTTTCCCTGCCACCTCTAGTCCTTAACTAATAACACATCTAGCTGGTCAAACGAGTCATTTTCAGATAGTTATGAATTCAAATGACACTTTGCCATCCCAAGCACTGCTCTGTGTGAATCCTGAAGAGTAACTTTCCTGGAATCCTGTTTTTTTTTAGAGGCTGAAGCTGTAGCCCAAGCTGGAATCCCCGAAAAGCCCCTCTGAGCTACGGCAGCCGTCGGAGCTGTGCTCCTGAGCACTCTGGTATTACAGGACTCCAAGAGATGTGCACATGCTGGTGGCTACTCTGTAATTGCGTGGCTCTAACCTATAAATATACAGTAATAGCACGTTCTTTTGATAACATAGCAATTACGTTGGAAGGTACCATGTTATTCAGTGACTGCTTACCATGTCACTTGCAGTTTTTAGATCTCATAATGCACTGTCAAGGAGGAAATTTGTCAGGCAGGAACGCTGTAATTTGCATGTCCTTTCGTGCTCGGTAGCTACCGTGTAATTGCCGAGTTACTCCAAATGCCTTCATTTAAGGGAATGCTGTCAAGGGGAAGAGGCTGCAGCTTGACCCTTGGAATTAAATTGAGGAGCTCTCCCCACCAGACACATCCAGGCTGGCTTAAAAGCAGCCACAGGACAGAGTGGCATGAGGCTTGTGGGGGTTTGCAGCAAATGCCTTGCACGGGTCTTTGCAGCAAGCTGCAATAGCTCATGCTGCACCTAAATGCTGCCTGCCCATTGCACCGTCTGATGCTGCCTGCACCCGAGCAGCTCAAAATGATTTACAGAGGCAGGGGGCTGTTATTCTCATTTGCTATCTCCAAAGAGTGGGAACAGATTGTTTTATCCAAGGTGACATATGAGCTGATGACAGTTGGATATGACCCAGGTTCGACTCGCTTTTAACTACTCTACCATGGCCGTTAGACCAGCTCCCTTTGACGGTGGTTTTCCTCTTTTAAAAACGAGTTTGGAAATAGGACAGGCTTTTGAAGAGAACATTTGTATAAAACGCATAGTTAGGAAGGCTTTTGGGGATCCTCGTGATAAATAACACTCATAGAAGATGTAAGAAGTGGTAGTGGGGAGGGAGCGTGTCTCATAGCCTGGGCCTTGCAGCCCCTCTTGTAACAGGAGTTGGTCGGTCAAAAGTTGAGCGCAGTCATCGCTCCATAAAAACCTGATGGATTTAAGGCCTCGTGCGTGGCTGTTAAATCAGAGCATCCGTTTCTGCAGGTCTCAGCGCTGCTGTGGGCTCCGTGGGCTCCTCGAAGGCAGCGCCGCCGAGCAGGGGGTCACCTCTAGGGACGGCTCTGGCTGCACCAAAACGTCTCCTTTTGGAAAAAAACACTTTAGCTTCCAAATTCTGACCCGTTTTACGTGTTTTTTTGTTCTGGAGACATTTGCCATCCCCAATAAATAGTTAACAGTATAAACAGCATTGCAAATCTTGAGTAATTAATTTAAAGGGAGGAATTTAAAAAAGAAAAACAATGCGAAGACGAGGCTATTTTAAGGCCATATTTTAAATTGGGAAAATCTGTGGAAGCAGGATAGCGAGTAGCAATTGTCAGCTGGAACGCAGGATGTCCAGGATATCCCAGCATGAAATTCAGCTGGGTTTCTGGCAGCCCGTGCCTTGAAGTGGAAGATGCAGGATCAGTCTGGCAACCTCCAGGCTGAGCACTTGTAAACAACAGATGTTCATAACTAAAATCTTTTGGAAGAGGAGGGCAGGGAGCAGCGTATATGTCGGTGCTTGCAATTCGCAGCATTTGCTGCAGTTAGCATGGAGCAGTGTCAGGGAGACGTGAAGGGGAAGCCAAACGTTGGTTCGAATCGGTAGTTTGCAGAGAAACTCAGTTATTTCCTCAAAATTGGAGTGATCTATTTAAAGTAGAGATGGCATAGGCTATGGGGGAGGTATAAATGTTAATTAATGTGGATCAGATTGGCTTGCACTTGTGTGGGGTTTGGAGGGAGGTGATTCAAAAGAAAAAGTAGGTTTTTCTGCCCTGTGTTTCTTTTTGATGTAATTGAGTAGAGTTGAGCCTGGAAACCTTGCGGGTGTTTTCCACCCTATCAGCGATCCCGGGGTTGTTCTGTGCTGTGTCCTGTGGTGATAGCCACTGTTATAGAGCAAAACAAAGTTGAGAGCAGTGTGAGCAGCTATGGAGAGCAGCGAAGCTCTCTGCCTTGCCTGTTCCAGGCCATGGTGCCCTGCAAGGGGCTCTTGCAGCAGCACCCGTCTGCAAATAACTTCCCTTCTCAGGCTGCTGGAGCATGTTCGTATCCACAAACTTTGTTTTTAAGGTGCCTTTCCTGTTGCTACCTCGGGGTGCAGCCTCCCTCGCAGCACATGGTGAAGCGGATAATACATCCCTGCTCGCCTGCGAGTTCCTCGTCCCAATGAGTAATTTAATTAAGAAGTTTCACACGCTCCAGCTCCATCTTCTCCTCTGATCTGTGGAGACCAACCGACACCTTTGAAGTGGAGGCTGCCCGGGACTCCATCGAGATAAGGCCCGAGGAGCACCGAGCTGCATTCCTTGTGGTTCTACAAATCCGTGCCCGGCTTCCTCGTCGTGCATCCGCCCTGGTGGCAGTCGGGCTGCCCTCAACGCCCCGCGGCGTCGCTGGCATCGCACGGGCTTCCAACCCGCCCCGAGAGCGGTGGGAACGCGGCAGCCCGTGTCGGACGCTGCTTCTGCACGGGAATGGCTGCAACGTGGGGGAACTCCCAGAGTTTTGTGGCGCTCTTGTTGGTCTCGATCCCCAGGATTTCAGCCGTTCCGGAGCATCCAGACTGCGGAAGCGGCGCTCGCGCCCGCCTGGAGCCGGCAGTCACTGTCATTTGGGTTTTCCTTTCCGGTCCCTTGTCCGTAGTGACAAGGAGTTGGGAGCCGGGTGTTTTTGCCACCGGAATCGCTAATGCCAACGGCACTTTGCTTCTCTGCCATCTGCTCGTGGCTGTGGCCGAGCCGGGGCTGCTGTCAGCACGTGTGTAACCGGTGCTCGTGTTGGGAAAGCGGCTGCCCCGCGCGGCCGGGGCCTTGGCAAGCGCTGCCCGCCGGCGTGAGCAGTTCGGGAATTGCCCTCTTTCCTTCCTGCTGGAATCGGGTCCCCTCGTCCTCCTCCTGCCGGTGCCGACACGCGACGGGGACGATCTTTGCATCTTGCTCTTGCTGTCAAAATCCTGCGGTGAAGACGTGAAACCTGGGCAAAAGCAGGAGGGAGCACCCGGACCGGGCACCCGAGGGCTTAGTGCAGCCAGGAGGCCCTGAGGAATTGGAGGAATCGCAAAGCAGATTCCTTCTGTGAGGAGCAGCGAGCTGCGCTGGCCGGGGCTGGGGACAGGAGCCCACGGTGACAGTGCCGTGTGCGGAGGTTGTTTTCTCCTCCCAGGTGGCCTTTCCCGTTTAACCACACGGAGAGCATCGACAACCCGCGTGGCGCCGTGGGACGCGAGCAGTTTTGCCCAGCATCCTTCCCCGGCTCCCGGTATTTGTGCTATGTGCCCTGGAATAGCTCCGGGCGCTGCGCTGCCGCAGCCAGGACAGCTGGGAATCGCCCGCCTGCCTCTCCGGTTTCCTAGCCCGGCTCTCTCGATCCGTTCTGTGCGCTCCCAGCCCCTCATCCTTGCACTGGCAGTGTTCCCAAGGGAGCCGGAGCGCGGCCGGGGAGGTGTGGGAATGGCAGACCCCAAGGAACAGCCAGGCTCTGCTGTTGGAGCACAGCGTCACATACGGGCCAGCGCTGGGCCGCAGAGAGAGCGTTAGCCCCTGTGGAAGAGCCGGTTGTTGCCCGCATTCCTTCTATTAGTGTTATTCCCAGAAGGTCCAGCCGTGGTTGCGTGTCCCTGTTTGCAGCTTGCCCATCCCATGCAGGGCAGCAGCAGCGGCCGGGGCTGGCAGCGGAGCCAGGAGGGCCCTGGGGCTCCTCCCTGTCTTTGCTCCTGCTGCTCCTCCAGCTCGTAGGCCGAGGTACAAAACCCACGGGTGTCCTGGGGGGAAAGGGACAAAGCAGCCGAGCGGTGGCAGCCCCGGCAGGGCCCTTCCCCAAGCGCTGCCTGCCCGGCCCCTCCGCGCAGCCGGGTCTGCCGGGCCAGATGGCAGCTCGTTCCGGGCTTGGAGCAGCGCTGCCGCTTGGAAGAGCTCCTTGGAGTCGCTGCCGTCCTCCTCCCCCTGCTTTGCGCTGGGAGAAAGTCGGGTTTTGTTTCTTGTTTCACCTTAGAACAAACCCCCCTAATTATATTGAAGCTTGTGGCGGACGCTGTCACCCCCGGTGTCGGCAGAAGCCGGAACGTGCGGAGCTGAGCCCTGCACGTGTCCTTGGGGGCCCGGCCATGCTCTGCTCGCCGCAGGGAGGTCCGGAGGCCCCGGAGCTGCAGCGGGCCCGGCAGGGTCGGCGCGGGCCGGGAGCC